GGGCCTCGTCCTCTACGGAAATCTTCGGAAGCACTTAGAAATAGGCTTTTACGACAGGCAACCGCTCCATATAAAATTTGGAATTCACTGAATATTTGTATTGCCTGTAAATTACGCCGAAGCACGAAGTGAATCAAATGGCGAATTTCTGTTTGCGTTGGTGGTGGAGTTTCGTCTGACCCATCCTCAGTTATCTTGGATTTTTATGGTTTCCATTTCAACCGATCATTTTAAAATTTGAAAGGAAGACTAATAAAATAATTGCAAAGGGTTTGGTAGTTTTGGATTTAACAAAAATGAAATAAAAGTCACCAACTGACCGAACTTTTGTTAATCCCCTCGTATCAAAGCCAGAACTACTTTAAGCAACAAGTGGCCGACCACAAAACCGACATAGCGTCAGCATCGTCGGCGTCAGCAACAGCAGTAACAGCAGAAATTCAAAAGTTCCGCAGTCTACCAACCCATCAATCGTGCGTCCATCATCCCAGGTGACGGTGGGTGCATCAACCAAGCAGCGAGGTAACGAACAGATGTAAAAATTCATTTTTATGTGCAAATAGAACAATAAAATGAAAATTACAACAACAGCAATGACAATTTGAGCAGCGACTGCGAAATGAGCAATGAATGAGTGCTGCAAAAACAAAAGACTTGAACAGGCGATGAAAGTGAGCTCACATCAATTCGACGCCAACGTGTTCGTACATATATGTATGTATGTATGTATGAATGATTGTTTCTTGTTTGCAAACACAATTTGTGAATTTGTTGGTCATCCGCCACGGTTGCTCGGTGTTGGTGGGTTGATTGAATGATTGGATGATTGCATCGCCCTACTGCTACCGTTCGCTTGACTCATAAAACGGCTATAAAACTGATTGACCATGCCGGGGGTATCATAATAAAACAAATAACATACATATACTGATGTAAAGCAGCATCCCTCGAACTCTTTAACAATGTTCGAACATCTTTCATTTACTTTATTTTTACGCTATATTCAACTAATCGCATAGTCATCTAATAGAAAACTAGTCAGGGTTGTTCATCCTTAAGTCTTTTCGAATGAAATTAACCGATTTAGCAAAAGCTTGTATTGACTTGAAACCAAAAGATTTCGTCTTTTTCTCCACTTCTTTTGTAAATTAATTTATTTAACTGGTGGAGAATATTTTTTTTAACATTCTTAAGGCGTTTCAATACAGGATCGGTTTTCGTTTAGTGGTTGGCGGTGTGTACAACAATGAGAAAGATCATGGATTAGTTCAAATACACATATTATATTAAATTTATATTTTCCAATTGCGGTCGCCCCTCGTCAGGTAATGTCAAACCCTCCGATTGACCTCTGACATGAAATAAAAGCTCCTCATAAAAATCCATCAGGCATTAGGTGGCGGCCTAGTATAAACTGTATGCTCCATCAACTGGTGGAAAAAAATATCAAGAATTGCACCATAAAGTAGAGAGATATGAATAGATAGATAGATAGAGAAATTAAAATTAAGCGAAAAGAATCAAACTTAAAAGAAGAAAGGAGTAAAATTATAAGTAAGATGAAGCCTTAATGGAACTGACAAAGAAGATTAACCGATTGCGGCAATTTATAGCTCTACCCACGACAGGAATAAGAATGAAATTTTTGATGCCTGAAACTTGCAACACTGTTTCAGTGATATAGTTCAGCGAATGCAGGTACAGCGGCTACGCTGGCTAGGATAAGTGGCTCAGATGGATAAGAACACTCCAGCTTTGAAAGTATTCGATGCAGTACCAGCCGGTGGAAGCAGAGGAAGAGAAAGACTTCCACTCCGTTGGAAAAGATAGAGAAAGACCTGACTGAACTTGGTATTACCAACTGGCGCCAAAGAGCGAAGAGAAAAACCGAACGGCGCGCTTGTGGATGCAGCTATAATCCCGTAAGCGGTGTTCACGCCGATGAAAAAGAAGAATAAACTGGGTACCCGTTATATTTTTTGCAAACGGAAGCTTTTTTACTTACCGAATTACTTACGCCATTTTTGAGAGCGAATTATGCCAAAAGCTAAGATAACATTATACGAAACTCTCAAAAATTGCAGATAAATACGTTCCTCGATTACTTTTTCTGGGCAAACAAAGCCAAATGAGGGAGCTTTGAACAGCTGATCGTTAAGACGCTCCAGTACCACTCAGTCAATAATAAAATAAATTGTGGTGTTCTCTATTTTTGATCGGAAATTTAACGAAATCTGCTCACAGCAAAACAGAGTTCTGTTCGGTGACTAGAAGAGCAATAATATTTTTTACTGAATCGCGTTTGTTGAGACAAAAACTCAGTGAAATTAGTTAATTGCTGTGTTCGTAGGGAAATGTGAGTAAAAACTAGCCAGTAACGACATTGAGAGAGTAAGATGTCTTACTCTACCAATGAAAGAAATTTACTGAGTTTTCAACGAATTCGTTTATCATGAAATCAAAATCGTGAATATCGAAAAAAAGACTTCCTTGCCTTGAGTCTTACCGGTGTATAGCGGAAGCCAAAATTGTATATCTCCACCACCTTTTCTCGTAGAGTCTTTTGTTTGAAGACAGCGATTTGCTTTCTCGCATTTTTTAAATTTCGCATTCAATATACTTTTTATTAATTCACAACATAATAAGCCAATTAATATTTCTTTAAATTCATTTCTTTTCCCTTCAGCGACATATGTACATGCATTTCTCAATATCAAACAAAGAATTTCTTTTCATTTTACTCACTCAAATATTGTCTTTTTGTTTTTTTTTTTTTTTGTAAATCGAAAATTTGTAGAAAATTTACATAACAAAAGAGCATTGGTATGCCATTATTATAGCCATTTTGAAGGACGACCTAAAAGAAATCCATTTACGCATACTAGTATACATATGTATAAGCATTCATGAGCGTCTGCATATTCAAAACAGAATAATTCTTTTTTCCTTTCCTGGAACTGACCTCAAAGAAGGTTATACGGCTTAAAGGATGTTTTACGATCCCGTCATTTGTATGAAAACAAAAATTCTTTAGTAAATGTGTCATTACTAAAATAAACATCACGTGGAACTGAAATGTAAAATGTTTCGCTTAAACAACAATGAGAGTTCGGAGGCGGGTTAGAAAAAACTGTGTAGTCCTCTATTTGAATGAGTTGCTCGGCTGAAAGTTGCCGCAGCGGTTATAAAGCGCCAATTACATTATATAATATCTACATACATATGTTTGTTTATATTTTTTTTTTTTATTAACATTATTAATATTTATTTATTGGATTTGTAACTTAAACTAAACTAAAAATAAATCCTATTAACAGAAATGGCTTGTTGGCTTGACGTTGCTCTTTAGAAGGCTGTTTCATTTTCATGGAGAAAAGGAGTAGGAGTTTTGATAGCAGTGCTTTTTCGAAAAGTTTGGATAGGAAAGGCAGCAGGCTGATTGGTCTATATGATGACGGCGCAATTGCCTCTTTACTTCGTTTATCTATCATAACTAACTGCGACTTTTTCCATATTTGTGGATAACATCTCAGCTCGAATATTGTAGTCTAAAGCTTTGCAAGAAAAAACGAGCTCAGTTTTTGTAGTTCCTTTAGCATTTTTGGTGTGATATGGTCGTATTCAGCAGATTTGTGCCTACTCAGTCCAAAGCTGCACCTGTTGGCAAGAGTTATTCTGCGTTATTGGTGGTAATACTGGTTCCAAGATAGATGAAGTTAACTTCGACGCGAAGGCGATTACTGTTTTTGTGATGACAGGAGATATTTCCTCTTGCCCTCGTTCGCTATTAAACCCATTCGCATCGGATTTTTATCAAGTCTGTAGAAAGCAGAGCTCACGGCGCGATTGTGGAGTCTAATAATGTCAATACCATCGACGCGCGCCAGAATCTGTGCACTCTTGAAGAAGATTGCACCTGCTCCATTCATCTTTGCAGCTCTTATAATTTTCTGCAGAAAAGGAATCACCCTGTCTGAAACCTCGTTTGGTGGCGAATGGCTAGGAGAGGTCCTTTCCGTTATTAACGTAGCTTTGGGTGTTGTTTTACGTCAATTTTCCATAGCCATATAAGTTTTGCAGGGATATGAAATTCAGTTGAGCGGCGTAGATGCAGCTCCTTTTCCTGCAGTCGGAGACTGCTTTAAATCCGACGAGGAAGTGGTATGTATAACTCCTTTCAAAGATTTGTCGCATGATCAATGATTGACTTGTAAGTTCTAAAGCTATACCGATAAGGTCCAATCAATTTGTTGACGGTGCGCTTTAGTCTTTCACACAATATGCTCGATAAGACGCCCCAGGCGCTTACCTTCTATGAGCATCGCTGTTCGCATCGTCCTTCTTTTCTATCGGGGCGTAAGCGCAAATCAATGATAGGCTAATTAATTTCACTTTGATGCCACGAAGTCTCTCACAAACCACAAATCCGACACCAAATTCAATTTTCTTTATATAGCCGCTGAGTTAATTTCACAAAGACCTTGCAGCCGTCCTTGCCCCGTTCATCGCACCGAACCGTTAAAGTCGCAGTGGTTCACCTGAAGCTTTAAGACTAAAAGACTTGACCGATGGCTCTAGGTTGATAACCTCATTTTGCGTAACAGGTGCTCAGGTTTCCAGGGTGGGTGTTTTTGGACGTAAGAGCAGGAATTGAGTATAGGCCCGCGACTGTAACTGCATACCCAGAAGCTTGTCTACACCCCTTTACATCTCATACTTGTTTATAAAGCAAACTTTCGTGTACTTAGAAGCTTTTTGACTAATGTTTGACACAAAACCTCATATCTTAACAATCGGTTGTATGGGGGCTTTATGATATAGTTCTTCGATTTGGGTAATTTCGTGCTCTTACTTGCAATTTATGACCTAAAATTTGAAATCTGAAAAAGCGGTAATATATTCTTTAGTGGTCCGGCCAGTTCGGTTCCGACAAATCATCGTTAAAATATACCAACAAATATTCCAATGTACTTCTGAGTCAAGTTCGGTTAAAATATCTCAAAAACTGAGTGATTAAAATTTATTTGTAAAAAATTAAGTGTCTTATTCTTATAAAATATATTAGAAGAAATAAAGTCTTATGTGGCTGATATAATTATTCATTGATAAATGAATTTTATACATATTAATATACGAGTATGTATGTATGTTTGTATGCAGATGTTTTGCGTCTAGTTTCATTTATGCCATTTTATTCCTTCTATCTTCGTTTATGCAACAATTTGTTGCACACTCTCTGCACTGGCAACTCCACCAATACATAGCTCAAACACGAAGACAGCACCGCCACCACATTCACCGCAATAAAGTCCGAGCCGGAGGCAGCTTCATTGAAGCTGGTCGGTTCATTGCGCAAACCATAGGCGACCAATGTAATTACGGGCGTTAGCAAATAAATGCTATAGCAGAATTTATTCAGCAGCCGAAAGAAGCGCGCACTCAGCAAGGCGTTCAAACGGCCACCGTGTCCCCAGGCGCAAATCAGAATGCCGCCGCCGATGGAGAGTGCGAAAAGCAATTTGCCAAAGGACATAATTGTCGCCACCAGCCATGTGGGTGTGTTGCGCCAGTAGCTCATGAAATTTGCCACCGCATAGACGAGGGCGATGAAAAGCCAAAAAGCCGCATGCCACCAACTAATATTATTTCTCGCCGACGTATCGGCAGTTGCAGTGGCCGTCGTTGCAGCACATTGTTGTTGGCGGTGGGATGATTGTTGAAGTTGATTTTGTTGCAATTGTTTCTCTACATGCTGCTGCTGTTGTTGTTGTTGTTGGTGTTGACGTTGCACGTGCGAGTCAGTCTGCGTTTGCGGTTGAGGCTGAGGCTTCTGCTGCTGCTCGGACTGCGGCTCTTGTTGATGATTATGGTATCGTTGATGTCGCCGCTGGCTATTATTATGCAGCAACCAGCCGCAAAGAGCCCCTCCGAGATAAGGGTTGATACGCACCCATGGCTTCACGTACAGCTGATTCAGCGTTGAATGGAGTTTGTCTATGCTGTTAGCAGAAGGAATGGAAGGATGTCATTTACATAGTTAGGTTTATAGATGAAAATATTTGTAAGTACATACAAATGTATTTTAAAGGATTCTTAACACATATGTACACATATACATATCTTACTGTGATTCATACTCACTCAAATGTAATGTCATTGTAGTAATTGCATAACCAACCGACCACAGGAAAGCCAACGACCAATGTCACGAAGGAGATTTTAGCAAAACGTTCGCTTTTAGCATACAAGAACAACAAAGCTGTTATCAGTATGTAGAACTGCATTTCACACGCCAAATACCAAGTCCAGGAGCAGCAAATATCCTTCATATCAAGAAAGTTTTGTATGTAGAGTACATTGTGCCACCAACGTCTAGTAAAATATCAAAGCAATCGGGTTATTAAACAATAACTGTAGTTCGATTCGAAATAATATTTATATTATGAAAACCAAATTAGAAGAATTTTTTATCTGTTTAACACATGTGCATATATACATATCTAAAAAATTATAAATTGCAAGTTCGGACGAATTGTGAAAAAGATTCAAGTGATATAAAAGTCGAAAAAAGTGTTGGAGAGAGCCTGTGACTGTTTGAAAAGGGCGAGTGCTTCCTTCAGATGGTCCAATCTTTGACAGTGCAGTTCTGAGTTAATAGTTCTGCCGTATGGGAGCAGCCAATAGAAGATAATTCCCTGCCAATCCCACCAAATACACAGCAAAATCCTCCTGGCCGCCGTTTCCGCCGGCTCACGAAGTTCTTCACTTGACGTTGTCGTAAGTGATCCTCGTTTCAACGCCAGTCACCAACCGGGTCGATTTTCTTGCGATTCAGCAGTGATTCGATTCCATCTGCGGTCCATGAGGTTTTTTTTTTGGGTTCCAAATGGTTTTTTGTGCTTTCGAAACAGTGCTTACATGACGGCCGAGCTCGACAATGTCCATGATTTTTTGGTCTTCTTGATATCGATATTACCGGATCGGAATTGACGAAACCAAAATTGCGCATAATTGGCTATTACAGTATCACATTTTCAGCCGCCTGACTTACGTTTTCGTCCTTATCAAAGAAAAACTGTTGAAATATAGCGTAATTTCTCTTTGCCAGTGTCCATCTTTGAAGCACGCTCAAACAAAACTAAATCAACCAATCACAAAACTGTCCGAAAAGCTTTTTTGATAAGAAATGTCATCTTCGGAACCCGATCGAACTGATATAATGTGAGACCCAGTTAGCTAACGCCATCTATTGGAAAAATAATAGATTACTTCTTCTACCGCTGAAGCGATTTTCGGCCGAACCTCTCCTTCAATTTGTGGTTTTGCGTCTCAAACAAATGGCGGGACTTACAGTTTATGTTAAGCCGCCTCCGAACGGCAGTTGTCAGAAATACATTCGGAGGCCTTGACAGCCCTTGCCGAGGGGCGACCGCAATTAGAAAAATTAGTTTTCTATAATTTTGGATGTTGGTCCAAAAAAGTACTTTGGGGAATAAATATTCCAACAACAAGACTTAGAAGTTTGTGATATTTTGTATGTGTAATGAGAAATAAACGCGAATCAGCTGGAAAATAATTTAATAATTCCTTTTAATACTGAATAAGATGATGCGTAAGAAATCTTAAACGCTGAGCTGTACGAGTTATACCATGTCACCGTTCATAGTTCAGCGAATGAAGAGACAACGGCTACGCTGGATAGATCATGTCGTCGGAATGACATCCGCTGGTGGAGGCAAAGTAAGAGGAAGGCCTTCACTCCGTTAAAAGGATCTATGGTTGAATCGGCTATAATTAGGAAGAAGAATAAAGTTTCCAGATATGACAAACAAGAGCTCAAGAGAGAGAGAGAGCCCAGCTGAAGGTGTTAAAATACAACATTAACATCTTCGAAAAGAAAAAAAATTTTTATTATTTAATTTTTTAATTTATATTATTTTTATATTATTTTATTTAAAATATTTAAGAGCTGCTACAAATCTAAATTAGAATATTCTTTTTTAATGAAAAAATTTAAATTAATTGAATTGCGAAAGCAACACTAGCCCTCTATTCTTGGTTACGTGAAGGCAATTAACTATTGAATTCGATTACGCAAGCTATATGGAACATGAAAAGCGCGCCGCGGTTGGTTTACATTGGATGACATGCGTTTGACAAGCGCTTATGTATTGTATATAAATATGTATATTTACTATATCTGTATGTATGTATTGTAGAAAGTTTGTGCAAGGATGGCATTCAAGTATGCATCATATGTGCATTTGTGTGTGTGTTGCAAAAAAAAATCTATTTGGATCCATCGACAAATTTTTGTATAAAATAAATTGAACGCTGCGGTGGCTAAATCTTTTTTTTTTACTGTGAATTGTTTTTAATTGAAAATCATTTCATTAATCAATACGTATTTGATTAAATCATATGCACGCATAACCAAATCCGATTTAAATTAATTCGGGTTATGCTGCAACTACCCATCTTACATACCCCACAGCCGTACCACCCGACTGGTAGAGGGATACGAGAGTGAGTTTGCATACTTTTAAACAAATTCTTCTCAACAAATTTCATAATTTATATGTGCGAATATAAAGGACAATCAAATATATATACATACATGATCTATATGGTAATAAATAATTGATTACATTATCAGTTTTCATTTCTTTTGCAAAAACAAGCATTTTTTCGATTATTTAATATTCCTTTAAAAAAAGACTATACTGGCAGCCTTGTATTACAGCGAGCTATGAGTTAAACCGGTTTTCCGGAGAAAATCAAATCGCCGCTGGTTTCGGCTGAACAACCGTCAGTAACGGCTTTGGCAAGCGGTGAGAACTTTTTATTTACATGGCGCTCTCACCATATAGGTTGCTATGCCTGGGAGGTATGTAAGATGGGTAGTTGCAGCATTATGCGATATTTTTTGTTCATTGCATGTGCATACGTACATATGTTTATATGTATGTATTTATTTGGTAATAATTTCAATAAATTGACGCATAAATAGCCCTCAACATTCGCCTTTAATAAAAATTAAAATCTCAAATTAACGAAAACATATTCACACATATAATACCTAAATACATATGTATAATACATAAATCACAAAAGTAATTATGTTCTTACATGTTAATAGATTAATGAAGCAATGCTAATATACAAACATGCATGTATATAAATACATATAAATGTCTCTCATACTTACTGCTTGCAGTAATAGCCGCTGTTCGCGCCCAAATAAAAGGGGGAATAAGTGTTGATCAAATCGTAAATGACATCAGTAAGGACCATTGTTATGATCAACATCGGCGTTAGTCTGGCGGAGAAAATAGGAAACCATTAGAAAACATTTGGGAGAATTTGTTAAATAAATTTAATTGCAATCAACTCCAATTGCTGACGACGCATACCCACCGCAAATACCGTTGCAATAAAAGTCTTCCAAATAATTTTATATTTTGCGGGAAATTATTGTTACGAATTTCTTTTAGCCTCGTCTGGGAGGAGAGAAAATTGTAGACAAGTAGTAGAGCGCTGAAATATTAAACAGAATTATCATAATTGATTGACATATTAAAAAAAAAAAGAAATCTTGAACTTAGAATATACTTAATATGATTACTTCAAGTATAAGGAGTAGCGGCAGGGGCGGCAGTTCACGCAATTGAAAAAAAAAACGTTTGACCGTCATTCACCTGAAAGTGATCAGAACGAAATCCTTTGCTTAAGGATCAAAAAGTTTACCAAGTATTATCAGGTTTGGAGGCGCATAACGCGAAATCGAACCATTTGTAAGTTGTTTGTAGAGTTTTGGTATTCTTCTTTCCAATTACCACAGTCACCACTTATGCGATTATTCCGAGTCAACAATAGTACGCTAGTCGTTTCTTCTTTTCGTCGTTGGATTCAGCTCGAGAAGTCAGGTCCTTAATCAAGTGATATTTCCAACGGAGTGGAGGCCTTCCTCTACTTTCATAGGCTGGTCCACATACCGACTCCTCGGATATCATCATCGTACATTCTTCTACTCCGTATATCAGCAGTCAGTTCTAGGTTATCAAGAGTAATACTGTGTGACTTGGGAGCCAATAGAAACGAGGACTTCTATGAGAGAGGCATAATGAAACTACCTTTAAAATGGAAACAAGTGATTGAACAAAACGGCATATAACATAACCTAAATCGGATCATTCTAACTATGGTAATTAATGCCTTAAATTTCATGCAAAAAAAATGATATTGCGTTTTGCCCTCGCTCACTACCAAATCTATTCACCTCACTCTCCTATCCACTCTGGAGAGCGCAGAACTTACAGCGCGGTTGTTGAGGCCAATGATATTAACATCGTCGACATATATATCTACATAAGTCAGCAATTGTACGTTTTTATAGAACAATGAATGAAGTTACATAATAAAAAGTCATCTTCACTGAAACCTCGTTTACTATCGAACGGCTCGAAGAGGTTCCCTCATCATGACAGTGTTTTTGAGCATAGCGTCATAGAAACAATTCCTCTTCGTGTAATCGGAGTCTGATTTAAAATCAAAGAATGTGTAGTGTTTGGTTATCTTTTCTCAGGGATACTTTCCAAGACGCGGCAATGGTGGATTTATCAAGTCTGAAACCACACTGACAAGGTCGGCTTGTTGGCAATGACCCAAAAAAATTAACATCGATTAGAACTTGGACAGAGCAAAATGAGGTAACAACGGTCAGTCATACGCTTATTCGAAAAAAATACACTTTGTTCTTCGCTGCCTATTTCAAAAGTTCAACCGGATTTATAATCTCAGATATCTGTGACCGCTGCTCCGTCCACGATGTCGAACTCGTATTTGATGATTTTAACATCTGGGTGGGCAAGGAAGCTGCATATCTTCTCTCAGGATATTTAGGCTTCATGACAAAACTTAACTCTCTTTTCTGAAAGTCATTGTCAACTACTCGATATAAAGGAGCTGTGGAACGAGTTTCCAAGTTGCCGATACTACGCCGTTAGAGACCCGACTGGTATTCACCAATGTTGGAAGAATAGCTGGTGAGAGTCAAAATTTAGTGGAGAGAAATAAGACTGCCTAGCCCGCAATATTCTGATTTACCTTAACGCGAGCCATATGGGGGAGATGCCGATTCACGAACAGCTAGGCAAGCGACCTTGGCTGAATAAATATATATATATAATTCGCGCTTTGTAGCCGCTTTGTAAAAGGGTTTCGTCAAGGATTCTCCTTCAACTTGTGATGTTGTGATGTGCGCCTTGAGTTTTCCAATAAATGGAGGGACCTATAGTTTATTCTGAGCCATCTCCGAACAGCTTTATTTCATGTCAGAAATACACTCGAACGGGTTGACATTACCTGCCGTGGTGCGACCGCAATTAGAAAAATTCAATTTCTGGCCCTCAGATTGGAAGTATGCAATGCTAACCACTCCGACATTGCGGCCGCCATCAAATTTTAAATTTAATAAAATATAACCGCATAAAATTGACCAGGTCTCTTATATGGTTCCGATCAAAATCAATATATTATTTCATGTTAATAAAGGCAGAAAACAAGGAATCCGAATTACATGAAAACGGAGAGCTTGAGAAGCTAGTGGACAAGGAACTCCTCGAAGGTTCTATGACCCTCACACTTATGATCATAGCAGATATGAGTTTTACACGAAAACGTTGAGACAGTACGAATATTTTGAAGCGACGCAGACAATCGTTCTCCAATACAATTTGTGTCTACAAAGTCTGATGTGTCCCTTCATTGACCTTTCATTTCATTTGACCTTCAGTTTACTTGAGACTCTAAACGTGTGACTACGGCACCGCTGCGACTATTCCACATCCCCTCCATCGTATTGAAAATCATACGAAACATTTCTTGTTTATTAAAATCGTTAGCTGGGGTTCATAGCTATAATTAGTGTCAGGAAAGAACCAAAAGATTTCATTTGTAGGTTAGAAGAAAATTATTTCAAATTTTCATATTTTATTTTAATTTTTTTAATTGAATACGAAAAAATTTAACTTTAGTACTGATTAGTCTTATTTTATAAATATTTTTAAGCAATTCCATGTAAATAAATTTTATTTGCTAGTTACATTAAAATCTCCCATAACCTCACTTACCTTATAACAAAGAAAACGTCCACAAAAAAGATGGCCTGCAAAAGTGGTTGATTTAGAAAATTTCCCATCGCCACGAAGAGCATCGGTGCGTTGGACAGTGCGAACACTGAATAGTAGTACACGTGAAAAGTGGAAACCCACAAACAAATAATGCTACGCACGCCGGCAATAACGCACAAAAAATTCGAATTTGAGCTAGCGGGCTCCAGTTGGAGGGCGCGCTTAAAATTCTCACTTAAACGGAAGCACAACAAAAGTTCCTCAGTTGTAGAGCTTTCAGCAGCGCAAGTATCTCTTGGTGGCTGCACCGGAAAGTTTTCCATATGCACGGTACTCGCTTTGGTTGTGGCAATTGGAGCTTTTGTATGCATGAATTGCTGTAGCTTTAGTTGCTCTTCGGAGCGATGCACAATTTCAGCTAATGCGATGAGTAAAACCAGTGTGGTGAGAATGACGCTGTTGGGAGTGAAGAAATACGCACATTTCAATAAAGTTTTAATTGTGGTTCTAAGATCGGACATTATTTGAAAGGGTGGAGCTTAGTGAAATCAAAGACACATACTTTTGTTGTGTTGGAACATCAAATAAAAATTATGCTATGATTTTTTTATGCCCAACCATAGTAAATATGTATGTAACTATGGAGGGATATAAGCTAACGTACAATAATGCGAACCTTACTATATTTTTTAGTAATTTAGCAATGAACATTTGAAACTTAAATAAATTTAAATTAATATTAATTATATTAAATAACGTTAAGGTAAGCTATATTAATTAAAAATTAAATATAATATAATAAATAGAACACATATTAAAATCAACATAACTTAATAATTTAAGCTGAATTAAGTTATTTTAAATAAGATTAATAAAATTTGAAAATGAAATATAAATTAAAATGGAACTAAATTGAATGAAATAGAAAAAATAAAATTTACAAGAAAATAAAATGAATATGTTAAACTAAATAATTTTAAATTGAGTTAATGTTATCTAATTAAACTTTTAAATATTAATATTAAACTAAATTCGACAAATTAAAAGAAAGAATAAAATTAATTTAAGTTAGACGATATTATGTTAAATTAAATAAAGTAAAAGAAGTAGCTAGTATAAAATATATATTTATATAAATTGGCATTTTGTAACCGCTGAAGCGATTTTCGGCCGAGCTCCTCATCTAATTTGTTTGTTTGATGGTTTTCGAATAAATGAAGAGACCTATAGTTTAGACTAAGCTGCCTCCGAACTACTGATGGTTTTTTTATGAGAAGCTTTTTTCACGTCAGAAATACACTCGGAGGGGTTGACATTATCTGCCGAGCGGCGACCGTAATTTTTTATTTAAATTAATTTTCTGTAAGTAACAGGATTTGAACCCGAGGCAGTACGCAATGCTAACCACTCGGCTATCTAGGCCGCCTTAATAGTATAATACTAGTTAAATTAATGGCAAATTAAATAGAATACAACTAAATAAATTTAGAGATTTTTAAACTAAATTCAAACAAATAAATTGAATTTATAAAGAAAAGAAAAATGATGACGAGAGAATTTTTGAGCTCGCAAGGTTTTTGTTTTGTCCAGAGAGGACTTCACTTTTAAATTGCCTACTCAGTCGAAAGTAGCAAGTGATAAGAGTAATTCTATGCTGGATTTTCTGACTAACATTTTTATTGATGTTAATACCGTTTTCAAGAAACTGAAATCCATCTGATCTTTATCGAGTCTAGAGAAAACAGAATTTACAGTGCGGTTCTTGCACCCTCTTATAGAAGACTGCACCTTCTTTACTTGTCCCGTCAGCGCTTATCATTTCCTCCATCAATAGGTTCGCAGAAGTCTCGTTTGATATCGAATGACACTGAAGCCATTTAAAGATGCATAATTTTTTACAGAATTTTCAGACACTTCGGTACATCTTTTTTTCTGTCAGCAAATGTCCTGTGCTAGGTTAACCAAGTAGCTTCATGCATTTCTTGTGTTAAAATCTGATATCACAAATAACGATATATCGGGTCACTGCGAAGGCGATTAGCCTCGACCCATTGAGCGATATCCCGTTCCATCGGGGAGTCGGCGCAGATCAACGATGCTATGAAGAACTTGGCTTTTATGTGTATTGTGCCGAGGTAAACGATAGAACTTGAGAATTGAGTCTGAGTGCACCATCCACAAAAATCTGACAGCAAACTTGGACTCTTCTCGTATTAGTTGAACAGATTTATATAGGGAGTGTTTCATGCTTCAGGCTTCAAAACCGACGTCAGGTCGTTTTCGCGGGAGGTGGACGCAAGCGCATGAATTGAATATAGCACTGCAACTATAACTGCAAACCCAGAATACACCATAAAATTAAATTATATTAAGTTTGAAGTAACTGAGGTTAAGGTTATCTTACTTCTTATTAAATTGTAAAATTAAATTGAAAAAAAGTAAGTCAAATAGAAAAAACGACATTAAATTATATTAAGCTTATATTAAAAAAAAAAACAAAATAGCATAAAACAAAGCAATGTAGAATTAAAAAAAAAATTACCAAAATAATCGAAAATAACATAAAAATGATGAGTAAACACTAAAATATGAAATTCTTTGCACAACCGACCCCTTTGAGTTTTGGCCATATTATATTTCTACTACAATATTTGCAGTTAATTTAATTTCATTGCATATATACACACTTACATCGCAATTAAGGTTCCGGTTTGTTGAAAGAAATTTAGGCCAAAAGACGGTACTCTGGCCGCGACTGCGTGCATTTGCAGTTCCCACTCTCTTTGCATCATAAAATCGCCGCGCTGAAAGTATTCGTCGGTGTATCGACGCAGACTTGCCACCGAGCAGGATTGTGGTAAACATAAACCGATATGAATGATAGACTGTTAGACAAAAATACACAAAAGCCCAATTGACACATATTTACGCACAGGAGAACACACAAATATTGAATTTAAATAAAACAAGTTTATGCTACACATTCGATTCACCTCATACGGAAGTCTCACATCAATATAACGGGGCGTGGAGAAACGCATATAAACCATGGTGAGGCGCAGGCGCACAGGTGATGTAACATTGAACGGATTAAACCTATAGGTACGCAAATAGTCTGCCGACATAGCGATGACGTATGGCGTATTCAAGTCGTTGCACTGCCACTGTGGAGCAAACCAAAAGTAATTACCCCAATTGAAGGACTTCGGTGCCACGCCAAACGAGTCGAGCACTTTTAGAGCGTAAACAAGAAAAAAGATTAAGTTAAACACATAAACAAATTCAAAAATTATTGTTTAAACGAAAACACCGATTAACAACTATTAAGTACTTTAAGTAAACTTATGGAAATATGTTGCAAAAACAGCCAACATATGGAGAGACATAGACACCTTTTAAGCTCCAAAACTCTTTGGCAGCAACAGCCTTCAGCAGAGTTTCAAGTTCTCTGCCACAGCACGTGCCATTTTCATGGAGAGCGCCCAGCTGAGCAACTCCAATCAGGAAGTTGAGACGCGCCAATGAAACTTCTGCCGGCAATACCTGTTCAACTCGCGGCGCAATTGTGGTTCCATCCACTGCGAATGTCAAAAGCGCGGACACGATAACAGCAGCAACCGTCCGCATTACGTTGTATTCGTTTTAAAACGCGGAAAGTAACTGAGAAGTGAGAAAACGGTGAAATGTAAAAATTTAGTGCAAACTATCGGTCTTCGGCAGACTGGCGCTTAGACGTGGGACAACACCGACACCGACACCGGCACCGACGACAGAGTTTTCCTGTCCAAGCAACAAATGCATAAAGAAAGCGTTAAAATCTCTTATAATACACACTTAACGGTCTCGAAGGGATTCGCACAAGCGCATTTCTCACTGTTAACTTACGACACTTACTGCAGCAACTGCGCGATGTGCGGCTACCTTTTATTAATTGAATACGTAATTATCATTAACTACTTGTTCGAATTTACTAAGAGATTGTATGTACGTACATAAACATATATTATACATATATATATATATATATATATATATATATATATATATATGTTTTTTTGTACATTTGTAAATACATGCGTATTTGTATGTAAGTAGTTCAATAAAATAATTGAATACCCGGAACAAAAGGGTTACTCAATATGACGGCAAAATTATTGAAATTAAAAATAATATAATATTTACCGTGAGTTTTTAAGATTTTAATATAACACTTTCTACCTATTAGTGCGCATTGAATTCTGTTTCAAATTGCATGAAGTTGCTATTTTTCAATCAAAAGCTTGGATCTCCTTTTAACATAATTCTGCATTAAAAATAAAACTCGATTATCAAATTGTTATGCACCTATTAGAGTACCCTTTACAGCATTGTGCATACCTATAGACAAGTTGCTTATATTGACGCCTCAGCAATATTGCTAAATTATAATGGTCAACAATTTTGATTATTAGTTGACATTCGCATTTGTTGTAGTCACCGACTGTGTGAAGTAGATGGGAGCAGTTTTTCGACAGTGACATGATTTGTGTTTTACAGTGGATCATTTTTTTTATAGAAAATCACTCTTTTACAAACCAAAGCGGCTGTTGAAAGGAAACAATTTTTTTTCATATTAAAAACATAAAAATTTGAGATTTACAGGTCATTCAATCGAGGTGATAAAATTTACTTTGGTATTAAAATTTATCATTCAGTAAATTTTGTTACTGTTACGTATTCTAAATAAACAAGCTGCTGTTTAATTTTGTTTATTTATATCGTATGTATATAATTGGCACTTTGTAACCGCTATAGCGGTTTTCAGCCGAGCTCTTCCACCAATTTGTGGTTTTGCGTCTTGATGTCGCTTGTAAAATTTCTCTTTAAGACAAACAACAGCGAAAGATTCGTATTGGATACGTCCTTCAAGTGTTGCCACTGGGTCGGAATTCAGTATAATGTTAAAATTAAGCCTGCATTTAAAGGTAAATTTCACATTAATCGAAAAATGTCGGTTGAAACATTTGGAAATATGAACGTTAAAGCAGAACGTTAAAGACACATTTCTTGTCAAATCGCTAACAAATAATCTTAAACGTTAAAATTGAAGTGTGCTGTTAAATAATAGCCGGCAGACATTTTAAAATTAAAGTTAAGATTTAATTTAGTTTTGATAACATGGCGCCGAAACGAAACGATTTCGAAACGAAATGCTTTCGATACGTTTCTAAAGCTTTTCTACTTAATGCAAGTTCCATCCCAATTTTTTTTTATATATATATTTTTTTTTTGGAATATAAGGAATATAAGATACGATATAGATATTGTAGCAGAACTGCAAATACGAAGATAAGATGAAAGAACAGATCGAGAACTACAACTTGTTCTAGAAAATCATGGAAGAAATCATTTGATATAGTATACACTCACAGACTGTGCCAAAACTTTTGTCCGTCAGTGTATGTATAAGAGCGAATGCTGGTGGAGGTTCAGTTGAGTAGAGAACTCGGTAGTTGAAATATGAAGGGAGTGAACTTTATGTTTATGGAGAGCTAAAAAATTAAGAAGCTAAATAACGAACGGTGACTTTTATTCAATGATCCAGCGATAGAACCCGAAGGATTTGGGAAACCGATGATGGGGTTAATTTATTATAGTATTTATAGAAAGCATAAGAGTTTTCTTTGAATTAGATATTAAAGTTATTAAGTTTTCACTAGGTCATTTAGAACTGAAATGAAATGTGTTAGCCACGTTTTAGGCAAACCTTAAGTCTTTAGCCTCTTTCGAAATGTAATTCGACCACTAAAAAATATTCAACAGCAACATTGAACATAAAATATATTTTGATATGAAATCTTTTCATTTTTTTATTTAATAAAAAAACCACTTTTTTTTCGATTCCCTCAAAACGGTTTAATTCATTGATTTATACCATTTACAAAAAGATTTTAATTTTATACATACATACACACTTCATAATAACATCGTAAATGCTCAAAAACTCTGTCCTTCTGGACATTTTTTGAATACAAAAACTGATTTGCTACTGTTGCAAACTTGTTTTAAAGCAATTTTAGCATCTCCCTCAATACACAATGTCACGCGGTAAATCACATACAAACATACATATCTACAATATGTGTATTTACTTGCATTTCCATACTTTTGGTTATCTTCGAGTGGAAAAAATTAAACAAAATTTTGGGTTCATTTGTTGCAATGTTTATTATTCACCTTGAATTTAGCGATTTATGTAAGTACATATATGCATGTGTATGTATGGAACTTTGCCGATGTACAATGCACCAAACACCAATGCATTATAAACGCCACATCGATTAATTAAATTATTAATATACGTATATATGTATATATATATATGTATAAGTGTTATAATACACATATCCAGAGCTCGAAATGAGTGAGGCGAACCCGAAATGATGGTGAAAAAGACGTACCACTACCCGGCTATGACGAAGTATAGCAATAGCAATTGTTCTTTTAAAGAACAACAAATTGGGTGAAGCAGATGGTTTACCGGCTGTGAAGAGCTGACAAGGTGCATGCATCAGCTTCTTTGCAGAGTATGGTCGGACGAAAGCTTCCCGACGATTGGATTCTAAGTATGTCCTGTCCAATCAAAAGAAAAAAGGGGAACCCCACGGTCTGCGCCAATTACCGTGGGATAACTCTCCTAAATATTGCATACAGGGTGCTGTATCTTTTATGTCAGTATGTAAACATTGAATGTCAGCGTACTGTCTGAAAGACTGAAGCCCTTCGTTAGCAAACTGATTCGACCTTATTTATGTGGCTTTTTTCTTCACTCTCCAACTGATCCTTCCAACGAGGTGGAGGTCGTATATAATTTCGTCTATCTAAGGACCAACAACACCATCTATAATAATGTAAGCCTTAAAATCTATCACAGCTATATCTTGTCAACAGGTGCTGCTTTGGATTGAGCGGGCATTTGAAATATAAAGGCCTCTCCCGACAAATCAGTACAAAATTTTACAAGTCACTCATCATTCCCGTTATACTGTATGAGATACAATTTTTGTGGACGATTTATGGTCTTTTACGCACTGGCAACGGTTAATTTCGCAGACTATGGAACGATGAGCTGTACGAGTTACACGATGATATTGACATAGTTCAGCGAATGAAGAGACAGCGGCTACGCTGGCTAGGTCATGTCGTCCGAATGCATGAAATCGTTCCGAATTTGAAATTATTCGATGCAGTTCCCGCTGGTTGAAGCAGAGGAAGACCCTTACACCGTTGGAAAGATCAGGTGGATGTTGGCTTAGTTTCTTTTGATATTTCCAACAGACGCCGAACAGCGAAGGGAAGGAACGAATAGCGCATTGATATTGATTCGGCTACAATCGTGTAAGCGGCGCGTAAATATTATTTTATGCAAAAAAGAAGATCCTAAAACTAATTTGTTACCGTTTTTATTTTAATCAGCCCACTGTGCTAGGAGAACAGTCAAATATGAAGCGCATCGCTATTAACGAATTCAATGTAATCTGGGCTCGACTTAAGCCAATAAATTTTTGTAACTAATTAAGAATAGGCTATAACTGTTTATTTAGTAGTAAGGATTACGTATTTTATTAATATCTTTACACAATGCAGGTATTGTTTATGTTTCCACATTTCAGAAAATTTAAGTCACATTGCATTTCAAAATGACTAATTTCTAAACAAAAAATAAAAATTTTTATATCTAAATAATCAAAAAACAAATATTTTTAAAAATTAAACGGGGTTTACATACCTCAAAGTCCCCCACAATCTTTATAAATTTGTCGCCTTTTGCTTACATAGTACGCTTAATAGCGCCAAGTGTTTGCATGGACGAGTATATTAATGTAAATGAATACCTTTAAATTGTACCAAGTGATCATGGTGTTCGATTGCAAAGCATTTGCTTACTTATATGCAAATGTCATATATGAGTATGTATGGGGAGAAAAAGAAAAAAAGACAATTATTTGTGGTGTTCAATTCGTTTTACTATTTGCTTTGGTTTTAGTTTTAAAGCTCGAAGTTCAATTGACCAATTTGAATCAACCGGTCATCAACATCTAAATGAGCAAATAAGAAATTACCAATAATGTTGTTTATGGCGTACTTTCATGAAATTCGTATGTTTATTGTGATTTTTTTATTAAAAAATAATTAAATAATTTCTAGAAGTGATAGGCTCTCTTATTCGTAAAAGTAAACAAAAATATTTATGGATAAATAGACATACGAGGTTGGTTCGAAAAGTGTTGCGAAATTTGAGTTTTCAGACTAGTGGACGGCACCGAAACGTCATCATCATGTCAAATTTTGATAAAATGTATAAGTTTTCGGCAGGTGGAGCTTTGGTGTCTTGTACCATCACTAACGACGTAACCATGCGATGCTTACAGCGTCAGAACTATCAATTTTTTTTACGGTTTTACAAGCTTTTCAGCAGCAATCAAATGTCAAGCAAGTTTTTTATATTCTCTTGAAAACAAAATCCCTAAAACTCAAATGATGAGAATGCTACTAACAACGTTCTCAGATCCAAGTTAAAAGAAAAAAACATCTGCGAACCCAATCGTTTGTTTATCGACTGTAACACAATTAAATGATCTGTGACAACTTTTGTAAAATACAAATGAGACTAGAAAATAATTTTACTTTGAGTGATGTTAACAACAATCGTAAGTTTCCTCTGAACTATTGTTCTCTAAATCAGCGCAAACCATAAAACCGCAAAAAAAATAAAATGTAACGAAAAAACATTGTCTTTTCATACGAAAAACTGCTCATCGCTTCTGCCAGTGTCCAAATACCTGCTCTCGAAAACTACCAATTTCGTCTCATCAGAAGCGGTCTTCCACACTTCTGCGAAGAAAGGA